GAAAAATATCAAAATTGAAAATACTGTGGAAAGAAAGACACCTACATCTTGGATGCCCTTGAGAAAAGCTAAAACATATCAAAAATTAATTTCAAAGTGAATTATCCCTTTAAATCTGCTTTAATGGTTGACCTAATTTAGCCTGTCACCTGCGTTGGACCAGTTGTAGAGTAAAACGTTAGCGTTCTTGTAGTCCATCTGCTCTCCTCTCTTTCGTTTTCTCACTCCTCTCCTGTACCTACTTTCTGTGGTTGCTCCGACGTTCATAATATTTAGTTTAAGTTGGCTATTTTTCATTTATTTCTATCTGCTCTTTAAAATATTTACCATTGCCCATTAATTCAGCAGTTGTAAGAAAGTTATTAAACTGATGGACACATGTTAATGATGATTCTATTGTGTATCATGGGTTTGTCAAGCCGGGTTTCACAATTCTTTTTGTCTGCATTGTACAGCTATATCATCGTTTTGGCTTTCTGCCGCGTGTGGAGTTCTTAAAATCATTAGATGTAAAATCATAAATGGGATATGACTATGAGTAGATAGTGTGATTTTTCAATGATGTAATTATGGTTTAATATCATGGAGTGTAGTAAAAATAAGTTACAGACTGACAGCTATCTCATAACCTCTGCGGAGTGAACGTGTATCGGTATCCACAAACTGGTATTACGACACCTGCCGGGCCGGGGCTAGTAATTTAGCATGCTAATTTAGGTTATATCTCGGCAGCACTATAACTTGTCAGTTTTTTAATGACATCATTAAACTTATTTCTTTTCATTCTTTTGATGTGTGTAGCTCATTTTTTGGATATTTTTACCTCGATTATTCCATATGGCACCTTTAAAGCTACACTGTGTAACTCTATTAGTTTATTCTTAGCTAAAAACACTTAGTTCTTTCAAAAATATGTCAAGTCAAGTCAAGTCACATTTATTTATATAGCGCTTTTCACAATACAGATTGTATCAAAGCAGCTTCACAGTAGCTGCGTTTCCATTACCCTTCAATTTGCGCAAATTGAAATTCCGAAATGAAAATACGCTCATTGGAAACACGTCAATTTCGCAAAAACTCCCGTTTATCACAAAAAAGTTTTTACGCTTGCATGAGGAGGTTTTTCAGGCAATTCGAAAAAGGATTTTTTCGCAAAACTGCAATGGAAACGGATTTTGCGCATTTACAGTCACCTAACTAGACGGAGTGTGTTTTAGGTCCGTGTCCGCAAATAATAATAATAATTATCATCATTAGCCTATTATAACATTTATTAGGCTACATATGTAGAAGACGCTTTTATCCAAAAAAGGAACAAAGCAATTCGTCACATCTCATTAGTACTGGTTGTTGGACAGTAATAGGGCTAAGATTATCACAAATAAACACTCTATTTTGTCCAATATCCAAGAGTGTGTGCAGAGTTTGGAGCACGCACTGGATGGCAGACAAGAAAATAATAATACATTATTCGCAACTACTTTTATTTGCGTAATGTCACAATAACAACAAAACGTTGTGCTTTTGTAAAATAACATAAAACAATCAGGCGCGCTTTATGGTCTTCGTGAACTGGAGCGCGAGAACTGAACCAATAGCCTTTATAGACTAAAGCTTTAAATGTCCACTTTAAAAAGAACAAATTCGAATCGTAAACTAATACCTTCTGATTATGTAATCCGTATGAAAGGTGCAGTTCTCTCTAAAGGTGCATCCGGAGATTATGTTTTTAGCTCGTTATTTTTTCAGACGCATTTATAATAACTCACCTATTCAGCACTGCGGGAAAAATATCATAAATATCCATGTTCTAATTTGACCTTAGAAAACCAGTAAAATCTAAATTTTTTCCCATATTAATTTGTGAATATTTTAAACGTTTTAAAGGGGGCAAAAAGTCATAAACAAATATATGAAAATTCATTGAGATGTATATAGCGCAGCTATTGGTGTGGTCAAACTAAAACGTTGGTGTTAAACTTTGTGTTTTAAAAATACAACAACCGTTAATTTTTCGTTTCGCAACGACCGTTTAGACATAATACGAGTTAGAGTTCTTTATTAAATTCATTTAAAAAAAAAGAAACATTAATTACAGGAATAACCTCTCTAAACCTCAAAGAAATGCCATCAACACATCGAAGCAGAAATAAGGGAGAAACAACTCCGTGTCTTTCCCTGCCATTAATGCTTGGATAACACACCACGTCTCCTTCCATTAATAATAATAGTCTAGTGTGGTGCATGGCTGTGAAATAGGTTATAAACCTACCAAAGTCCGTTGCCATGATTTTTAGAATGACTTATCGCGAGAGGGAAAAAAGACGTTTTAGTCGCAAAACATCAGTTAATGGAAACACCGTCATTTCGCAAAAGTTTTTTTATTGACATTTGAAAAATATCGCAAAAGTTTTGCGCAAATCTGTAATGGAAACGCGCCTAGTGATGACATGAAAGTAGTACAACACAGATCAATAATATTGTTAAATATTAAATATCCCCAACTAAGCAAGCCAAAAGCAAGGCGACAGTGGCAAGGAACCAAAACTCCATCAGATTGGATGGAGAAAAAAACCTTGGGAGAACCCAGGCTCAGTCGGGGGCCAGTTCTCCTCTGGCTTACATTCATATTGTTTATATATAAATATTAAATATAAATATTGTTTATATATAAAACGGCGCCATAACATATCGCCGGCGTTGAGTCTTCTCTTCACAGGCGTTGGTCTTCTCATCACAGGCGTTGGGGCATCTGAAATCCCCGTGAGAGGCTGGATACAAAACTGGACCTGACGAACGCCATTGATAACAGCAGAAGGAGATGGGAAATAATTAGCTTAACTGATGTTCATAATGATTTCCATTAAATGGGAGTCGTGTTAGAAAACCACTATCTCACAAACTCTCCACAACCCAACCATACGCGCCGACCCGTTTGTCTAAAAGGCTGTCGAGCCCCACTGGTGCGTTAAGCAGTTTCAGTGGCAAACGGTATATGGCATAACATACATTTAAGAGCGTAACATTTAGCACAAGTACTTTAAATGAATTAAACCTGTGACCTATTTTCTGAGTAATATTAAAAATATCTTTATAGATTGTTGCAACACCGCCGCCACGACCAGTCAGACGAGGCTCGTGTTTATAATAGTATCCTGGCGGAGTAGATTCATTTAGACCGAAATATGGTTTAAACCAGGTTTCAGTAAGGCACAGAACATCGAAATTATTATCTGTGACCATTTCATTTACAATAACCGCCTTAGGTTTGAGCGATCTAATGTTTAGAAGACCTAGCTTTAGAAATTGTTTTTGTTCACTGATATTTAGATTTTCTGGTTTAATGACAATAAGATTTTTGCTAGATCCTACACTAGATTTATAGTTTGGCTTCACTAAACGAGGAATAGACAGTTTCTATATAATGTTCCACACTATGCATATTAGTTAAGTTTGGACAACAAAGGCTGTGATTTGGACTTTGACTTACTAGTCATCTGGTGCGTAACGTCTTGGAGATGTTGTCCGACAGAACAGCCGCTCCGATTCTGCTGGGGTGGAGTCCATCTGCACGATACAGCCTGGGTCTCTCCCAAAACAGATGCCAATTATTTACAAAGAGCAGTTTCTGTTCATTACACAATAACATTAACCATTCATTTAATGCGAATAGTCTACAGAACCTTTCCTGTCCTTGTCGGTACGTGGGAAGCGGTCCAGACACGATGATCGTTGCTGTAGGCGCTTGTGCTGCGTACCATCTCGATCAGGCTCCTGTAGTCCTTCTTCAGAACCTCCGTCTGCCGCAGCCTAATGTCGTTGGCTCCCGCGTGCAGCACAACAGCTCCGACGCGCTCGTCCCCGCGCTCGTCCCCAAAGTGTGTGCGGTTTAGTTTTCTTAAGTACCGTTTAAGAACCTTTTAGGCACCAGAACCATTTAAAAAATACCGAGTAGGTACTGGTAACGGATAAAACCCAACCGATACCCAACCCTATTCATGACCGTCCAATCACTACAGTATTGGGAACTAGCGACCTGAACAAAAGTCGCAGGCTTTGTAAACGGGGCTTTAGAGCTGCTTTACAGCACAATTGAATTCTGTTTGTATCATTGACTACGTTTACATGCAGCCAATTTTGGGGTTATGGTCGGGTTAAGGTCACTATTCGGGTTTCTGAAACATTAGGATTAACCCGTTTACATGTGTGAGCAGAGAGAGTTTCTCCTGTATACATGGAATTGCAATATCCCGATGTAAACGGTGACGCGCGATTAGCGTCTAGACGTACGGACAACCTTAAGACGCAATATGCGTCATTTCCGATTCTTCTTCCTGTATCCAATGACAACAACAGCAGCACGCGGATAATGAATAGTTCGGGGCAGATAGCGATCGCCTTTGCTTGCGCTTTGATGCTGGTAACATTACTGACCTCGCTCCAAAAGTATGCTGTGCTGTGTCTCGCCATGTTTACTTCTGGTATACGGCACGCAGATTTTTGTATGCGCTGAGAAGTTTCTCTACTCAAATGACCAAGATTCCTTGCGAATAGAACATGCGCAGAACACAAATCACTATGAGGATATGCCGATACGTGTTTACATGACCAAAAATTCGGGTTAGAAAAGGGGTACCCCAGGTATAATATCCCAGTTTTTAAAATCCGGGATATGAGCATATTCGGGTTTTTGCCGGTGTTTACATGGCCGTTCGCGACCGGGTTATTGCTAATATCCTGGTTTTGAACGGGTTATTTTCTGCATGTAAACTTAGGCATTGATCATTATCTTCCTGTTATCAAGGTAAAAAGGCTTTGAAACAATCTGAATTGTATAAAGCGCTATATAAATAAAGGTGACTTGACTTACCAAAGCAAATGTGGCTGTCATGACATGACTTAACTTACCTTTCCAGTCTTCAGTCTCTCATGTTCTTACTCAGACGTGGACAGGCTCTGATCTCTCTGGTGAAGCGGCTCACGTGAGTGGCTTGAGTTTCCTGTCAGGATGATATCCATCCAATCCTGCATTTAAACCAGTGTTCTTTATAGACTGGATGGTGTGTCCAACCCTGGAGAAGAAAACCAAAACAATTATTCGCGCTGACAGTTTATTACATTCCAGTCGTTGGGCTGGACTTCAGTAAGCCAAAAATGTTATATCATATCCAATACAAAGATCATATGAACAACATGGATGTCTCTTTTCTGTTTATTACTGTGAAGCTGCTTTGAAACAATCTCTATTGTATAAAGCTCTATATAAATGAAAGTGACTTGACTTGACTATAACAAGAACATTAAAATGAACTCAATTCACTAAACATATTTGAAAATCTCACTACAAAACAAATCCAGAAATGAAGATAAACGACATCACAAATGTTGTATCCTACTCTGTTACACTTCTTCACACCTGAAGTCTCTGATCGAATGAATCTCCTGAACTTCTCCATTCTACAGTAGATCATTTCTAAACCATCTATGTTGTAAGATCTGCTCTAACGTCGGGCGTTTAGTTGGATCCAGGGTTAGGCACTGGATAATCAGATCCCTGCATTCTGTACACATTTTAAGGATAGAGCCGGTTAGTCATGACCATGTGACACTAATGTAGGCATTTATGAAAACAGCATCTCTGAAACATGAAAAATTTAATTAAAAAAACTGTTTTCTTAAAAGATGAAGTATGTATTTTCTGCTGGACTAGTGGCACCTTGGGAAATTACAAAAAATAAAGCATATTTCAAACAATCTTGCAAACGTCTCTTTCGTGTGCCACGGCTCCCCCAGCTCAAACATCACAAACACAGCTCTTACTGGTCCATGTGAAGACATGTTTCAGGTCCAACATATTAGGAATACTTTTAGCTGTGTTGCATGTGTCTTTATGAACGGGTGCATGATGATGCTGTATGGTATTAATAAATGCGGTGAATTTTTCCTACGATCCCACTGTGACTAAACACCCTCAGGCTCCGCCTGCTACAATAGCCACACCCCCAAACACTATAGGTTAAGCTGGAAAAAGATTGATGGCTCTCAATGATAAGATGGAGCCTTTTTACACTTTTGGGGGAGATAAACCCACAAATGGCATACTAATAGTAATTGATGAACAAAAAAAAAACGTACTTCATACTTCACATACTTCACCTTTAACTGTTTCTTAACTGTACAGAGCCTTTGCTTTGGGTGTTTATCAATGTTATCAATATTATTCACTCACCGTTGGATAAGTTGGCATTCTGAAATCTAACTTTGGCTTTTGTGATTTCCTTTGGATTCTGAAAAGGAGGACATGTGTTCACCATCTCGTACAACAACACTCCTAGAGCCCAAACATTTACTGGGACGGGGTGAAACCAAGGCTCTGTGAGGACTTCAGGTGGGAAGTAAAACTTTACTCCTGTAAGGTAAGCAAGACATTTGTGCATTGTTGAGAAAAAATGTTTTAAGTGTCAAAGAATCAGCAAGTCATTACATCTAGGTTTCCAAACTTCCAAAATGCTCACCAATGTAAACGTCGCTGTCATACCCATCACTATTAAGTATCTGTCCAGAGCCAAAGTCGATCAGCTTGAGCTCTAAAGTGTCTTTCTTCACCAGGAAATTGTCCGCATGAATATCATTGTAAAAGACATTATGCTCAATGCAGTGTTGCACTGCCTGCACAGCCTGTCGCATGATGAGCCGTGCTGTTGATTCGTCCAGTTGAGGATTATCATAGATGAAGTCCAGCAAGCTCTCGCAGGGTTCGGGATACTCCATCACCAGGGTGAATTTTCGAGGGTGTTCAAACCAATCGTGTAGTTGTATGGCGTACGGGCTTACGGGTTCTTCCCTCATCATTAGCAGCACAGCCACTTCTGCAATGAGAGGTTTGGGATGCCCAGGCTTGAGAAAAGACAGAAGGTTAGCTGGGTAAAAATCTGAAGAAAACATAATTTTTCTTTGATTTTGGTAGACAACATCAATAGTGGCTTTGCAGGCTTATTCGTCTACTACATTTACACCTAATGTTTCCTACAGGTGTATTAACTACAGTAATCAACACTTCAACAACTAAATACACATTCAGCTTTTGGCCAACTTACAATAGCGAGATAAAGATCCTCGGAAGTCTTGCGCATCCGCTTGATAGCAACCTGCAAAAATGAAAAAAGAAACAGAATTCAATAAGAGTAATTCAAGCGCCTGACCTTGCACATAACATTTATGATTTGAGCATCTAAGTATAAAACCCTGTGTATTAAATATGTTTTGATGCATGCAAGAGCAAAATGTTTATATAATTCAGCAAAAACCTTTTTGCCATCAAATTTCCGTGTTCCTTTGAACACTCTTCCGTATCCTCCGCATCCAATCATCTCTCCCGCGTTATAGAGAGACTTGAAGGAGTCTGAAAAACAAACAGAAAATAAGAGAAATATATGAGCTTGCTAGATCCTTTGTTTTATATTAAAAATATCAGTGCTGGTCGAAAAAATAATATGAATATTCTGAGAACAAGCCTCAAGATATCTTTAGTGGAAAACAAGACGATAATACGGTTTAAAACAACGTTTGAGAAACAAGGACTGCAGATTTACCATGATTTGGCTCGACACCGGATTGACGTGAATCAGAATCAGGCTCCGAGAGCAGATCTAGTGGAGGAACGAAAGGCTCCACAACATCCACAGCTTTACTGTCAGAACAGCAGCCGGACGGACTCTTTACAGCCGTCCACACGTTCCTGAGGAACGAACGAATTCTTTTCATCTTCTTTCCTTTTGTACGTTTTTCTGGAACAAAGGGGAAAAAATTAAGTATAAAAAAAAACATTATAAACATCTCTGACCTCACATTTAAAAATGATATAATGATAGAACTTCCATTTAACTGTTCAATTTTATATTTAATGTCACAAATCCAAAATAATGCAAATATTTCCAAGCTATCCGCCTGACGACGCCCTGTTTCTGCTCAATATCTGCACAAATGTCCCTTAGGGGTGACCAAAAGTTTCTTTCACAATATTATGTAATAATAGTTGTTGTTGTTTTTTTATATCTTTTATTAAAAATAGACCATTCATTTCCAGCCATTATTATTTGGCACAGTTCTGGCAATGGTAAAGGTCATATGAGCCATCATGTCTTAAAATATATTTCACATTTATTTCTTATTAAATATAATAGCCTATATTTAAATCAACATTGATTTATATTAAAGACATAACTTAACCAACTCTGTTTACATGAACACTGGTCACAACAGCCATTTGGACAATTTTGTCAGTATTTGACCATTCAAACGCAATACGTTGTGAAACAGAACTCTGTTTGGGTTTGTGCGTGTGTTTTCGTGTGTGTGTGTTTGTGTGTGTGTGTGTGTCAGCTGAGTGAGTTCATGGCTTGTTGGCTTAACAAAAATATATTCTAAGAACGTTTTGTCCAACTAAAATATTTCAGAAAAACTTGCTGAGAAACTGTGTGTATTCATCATTCTGCCTTATTTCAATCTCACCTGTCGAGCTGTTGTTCACAGGTGAAGCATCCACGGCACCATGAGCAGTCGGGACATTAGAAGTGTCGGTTGGCTCGATGGAAACTTGACTAGGCGGTGGAGGACAGATCCCCTCTTGGAAGCTGTCGGATCTGGACAAACTCCTGTTGAGGCTGTCGGAACTGGACACACTACTGTTGAGGCTGTCGGAACTGGACACACTACTGTTGAGGCTGTCGGAGTGATCTGGATCAGAATCAGGCTCCGAGTCCAGATCTAGTGGAGGAACGAAAGGCTCCACAACATCCACAGCTTTACTGTCAGAACAGCAGCCGGACGGACTCTTTACAGCCGTCCACGCGTTCCTGAGGAATGAACAAATTCTTTTCATCTTCTTTCGTTTTGTAGGTTTTTCTGGAACAAAGGGGAAAAAATTAAGTATAAAAAAACCATTATAAACATCTCTGACCTCACATTTAAAAATGATATAATGATAGAACTTCCATTTAACTGTTCAATTTTATCTTTAATGTCACAAATCTAAAATATTGCTGAGAAACTGTGTGTATTCATCATTCTGCCTTATTTCAATCTCACCTGTCGAGCTCTTGTTCACAGGTGAAGCCTCCACGGCACCATGAGCAGTCGGGACATTAGAAATGTCGGTTGGCTCGACGGGAACTTGACCAGGCAGTGGAGGACACATCCACTGGAAGCTGTCGCATCTGGACAAACTGTTTCCGTCACTGCCTGGTTCATGTTGGCTCTCAGATCTGTTGTTACTGCTCCTGGAAACAACTCTCCTGCATCTGAAGCGGCCTGATGGAATAATTCAGACATTTTTTATAATATTAATAATCAATTGTCAGTGGTCACACACACAAAAAATCAACTTTCTATTTTCAATGACAAATCATTTATTCACTTTAATAAAAGCCTATACTAACCTATGCGATAGTGTTTGGATGAAGTGGACGGACGTCCATCATCTGACCTCTGCATCTCTCTCTTCCTGTGAGCCGAACCTGTGGCCACAGAAACGAACTCACAAGACCGAGGTGTTGAACATCCAGGAATAAGCTCCTGACTCTGTGCCTGGGTCGGGCCTGACATCTTCTTCAAACTGCAATTAAATGATACAAGTACCATACAATACAATACAACACAACGCAGAAAATATTCAGCAACTGTCTGAATTCTCCTCGTCTTTCAGTCAACAAAGAGAGCGATCTAACGTTTGACTGTGACGTCAACCGCATTATTCAAAATACCTGAAGTAGTGCGAGTCACGCGTGAGCGCACATCGAATCTGCAAACAAACTGAATCAGGAATACAGGACTGAAGTTATCGTTAAACAACCATTTAACAAGTGATATAATTATGTGTCATTACTACTTAGCTAAAACTAATATGTTAAAGCCTTTTTTACAGTCTATAGTTAAAGCATGAAATAAGGTTGACCACCAGAGGAATAGCAAATACTTAAAGATCACAGTTAAAAGAAAATCGTTAATAACTTGTAATCAGCCTATAAATTCATTATAGTTTCATGAAGTTAAATAAAGTGCAATAATGAGTTTGAAAAAACTTACAGACCATACTTTTTTTAAATTTAAAGATCTAACATATCCTTATTAGCTGCCAAGTTGCAGACATGACAGAAACAATTAAAGAAGAGGCACTATATTAATTTGTCTATTTAGCACATATATTAATACTACTATAAACACATATTTTGTATAACTAATATCATCAACACAAGCGATTGTGCTTGATCCCCGACGATCGCCTCAAGTTAAACTGCATTGTTTCATTTACCTGCTTCTGTCATTGGCATTGCCCACAACGCTTAACGTTAAAAACTTTAAAACAGCAAACAGGTAAAACAATAAAAAAGCATTACTTACATCACATCCAGCTAGCCAACTCCCAAGCTCCATCATCCTTATTTTGTCTTCGTTTGAACGCCCTGAGAAAGGATTTTTATAAAGATAAAACCGATTTTAAATTAATCTTGAAAGAGAAATTGCGCTTCTTTACCTTGAAAGTCGAGAACGGTCCAATCACGCAAGGCCAAAATATTTAAAATCAATTTTGATTCGCTTAAATCAAAAGTGGGAGGGTCTGACACTAACAAACTAATTTGAGCATGCGTTTAGAAAAATACTGTACAGATATTTTTGATAATATTTTTTTTTTCTCCAAGAACATTTTACCAATTCCAAACCACATTAATCTTAATAACTAATATTCATTTTGCATTGAATCAGTTATAAGTGATATGTAATTGTTCATGAAGTCTAGAAATGAAAAACGTCTTATATTCAGGTGTACATAATTATTAACATCCAATCATTAGCATAATCATAATTAACGTTTTCTTTTATAGATAAAATAAGCCAAAGAGAGAGAGAGAGAGAGACAGAGAGAGAAAGAGAGAGAGGTAAAGAACCCTAAAAAAAAACGACCCCCACCTAATAAGAATCACAAGATCACAGTAAGATTTTAGAAGTTCATTTTTAGTCCATCTCCCGCTATATCCTTAAGTCCGTTTTGCAGAGGAGGATTAAAATTTACTTCCAAAACCTACTGCCATATTCTGGAAGATGAATTCTTCAAACAGAGGTAACACGATGATGTGGTTCTGGTGCTAATACACTTCAGCTTATGATTCTTATTAAGAGGGGGTCATTTTTTAGGATTCTTTGCCTAACCAAAGTCTCTGAGATCCTGACACCTTACACTTCTGATCCAAGATGTCCATGTCTTTCTTTCTTCAGTTGAAAAGAAATTAAGGTTTTTGATGAAAACATTCCTGGATTTTCTCCATATAATGGACTTTATTGGGAACCAAACGGTTCAAGGTCCAAATGAGAGTTTCAGTGCAGCTTCAAAGGTATTTAAACGACACCAGACGATGAATAGCGAAAAGATCGCTCACTTAAAAAATAAATTAAAAAATTTAAGTTTTATAAGCACAAATGCTCGCCTTGCTCTGTTGAGCGTTCATGACTCTCCTGTTCAAACTCGTTCATCAAAATGAACAAAACTTTTTTCGAGTCATGACTCGAAGGGTCCTAGATAAGACCCTTATTCATCGTCTGGTGTCGTTTAAACCCTTTTGAAGCTGCACTGAAACTCTCATTTGGACCTTGAACCGTTTGGTTCCCAAAGAAGTCCATTATATGGAGAAAATCCTGGAATGTTTTCATCAAAAAACTTAATTTCTTTTTAAGGGAGGCTTTTTAATCCTGGGAGAGGACCAGGGCGGTGCCAAAGGGACAGACCAGGCAGGCTCCGACTGCAGCAATAATGGGCACCTCAGGATAGGTGGCAGATGAAGCGGACTCGTTCTTCCTCCTCCTTCTCCCTGAAGGGGTCATATGAGGACTGGGGACCTGACAGTTTGTGAGGTGAATAGGAGGTGGGCCAGGAGGCGGAAGGCCACTCTCTTACCCACAGTGGTATACATACCCCCAAAACTGTCAGAAAGACAGTATTCCCAACATTACCATGCCCCAGGCGCTTATTTTAAGGGAAAGCACTGCAAAATGATTCACAGTTTGGTCAGTATTGGCTGAATTTGTGAAGAGTTTTGAAATTGTGGCTCCAGTATTGACCGATGCTTGTCAATAATTGGAAAAAAAACTAACCAGATAGCGAAACGATCTGTCATTTAAAAAATAAATAAAAAAGTTTAAGTTTTATAAGCACAAATGCTCGCCTTGCTCAGTTGATGATGAGCGTTCGTGACTCTCCTGGTCAAACTCGTTCATCAAAATGAACGAGGTACAAAATGATCAAAACACTCCAATAACAAGTGTAACAACAATGTATAAACATAATAACATAATGTAACAAGTTAATTTAACCCTTGTGTTGCATTAGATTTTTTACGCAGTTGAGTGCTTTAAGGGCCAAAAATGGCCACATATTAAACATTGCCTAAAATTTTATTATTATTTTCCACTTTTACCAAGTTAAATCTTTTAACCAGCATCAGTTCTCATCATAACTACCAAATATTTATTAAATTTCAGGATTTTAACCCTTTAATTATAAGTTTTGGTGGCGATACCATCAATTTGTATAAGAGGAAAAAACACAAAAATTTAATTATTTTCAATACACTAAATGCAAAGAGAAAACTTTAGATTTGGATTATCACAGTCTTGAATATGTCAAAGATTAGCAGCAACATTATTTCTGGTGCATTTAAAGATTTTGTGTTATGTCAGATTTTTTTTTTTTAAATCCCACTTAGCGTGTTAAAGACCAAAAATTGCCACATATTAAACATTGACTAAAATATTATATATTATTATTTTCCACTTTTACCAAGTTAAATCTTTTAATCAGCATCAGTCCTCATCATAAATACCAAATATTTATTCAATTTCAGTATTTTAACCCTTTAATTGCACGCTAAAATGTGTTGTTTTTTAAATCAAGTGATCAAAGTGCTCGTTGACTCGATCTGTGGTGCTGATAAAGTGTCTTGTGGCTCGAGCTGCCACAATAAACATCTAGGCATTTATCCCGCCGGAAAATTAGCAACAGCGCCGGGAACCGCCCACAAAGTTACTTGCGCCATGCGCTTTGACACTTGCGTTTCAGATTGTTAAAATAGGGCCCCATGTGTGAAACCTGTGGTAAAATGATGGGAACAGACTTTTCCGTGGGGAGGTGGCTGAAAGTTTAGCCTATTTATCCTAGCTAGCCTCTCCTGTCAATAATGTTGACATTATTAATGTTTCTATGTCAATAATATGGCTGCCGCAAACATGACGCAGATCGAATAACATCTACAGGTGAAACTTTTGGCCAGGACTCCCTGGAAGAAGATATTTTTATCTCAATGGGACTATTCTGGTAAAATAAAGGATGAATAAATACAATAAATAAAAGTACAATCATGCAAATATTTACAAACTTTACTTTTCCCTGTATTTTCTGTAAATCTATATTTCCTTAAATTAATGATCAATATATTAAATGATTTAATGGTATTTCGAAAATATACAGAATACATTGAGTTAATATATTACAATATATTGAATAATACATAAGGAATTGAAAAATAAATTATAATATTATTATATATATATATATATATATATATATATATATATGAAGAGTTCAGATGCAAAAGCCTCTAAATGCCATTTGAAATTTTCTTCTTTAATGATGATTTTGATCAAACTTGTGTATTTAAGTTCAGTAATTTCACTTAAATAACAATTAATAGGTAATTCTCATTGCCATTTAAGTGAAATCACTGAACTTAAATATACAAGCTTGATAAAAATGATGATTTTCTAGAAGAAAATTTCAAATGGCACTTAGAGGCTTTTGCATCTGAACTCTTCATATATATAGTATATCATAATGCATTTTATATTCAGTAACTGTATGAATCTATTCTATATGAATCTGTAGTGCAGTTTACGCTCCAGTTGCACCGTAAACCAGCTCAATCTCTTCCATCTCAGATAGGGGTATTACTTTATTTTATTTGTACTCTAACCTGTTTTTATTTATATTGATTGCATTTACTGAATGAGCACTGTGCCACTGTTTGTCCGACTGTTACTGTACATTTTATTTTCGACACTGTATTTTATTTTTTTTATTATGATTTTTTTTTATTCTAAACTGTTTTAATTATTCTGACTTCTTTAATTTCTTCCATGTAAAGCACTTTGAATTGCCACTGTGTATGAAATGTGCTATATAAATAAACTTACCTTGCCTTGCCTTGTAGTGTACTCAAGCGCACAAGCACTTCTCACATGTTGCCAGTATTCTAGCTACGTTTACACGTGGCTGGCTATTTTCATAAACTGACAATATTAATTACATTCAGCTGCGCACTCATCAGTCACCATCATTAACACCTGTATATACAATCACCTAAAGGATTATTAGTAAGACCTTATTACTAATACTGTGTTTAACCCCCTTTCGCCTTTAGAACTGCCTTAGGCAAGGCAAGGCAAGTTTATTTATATAGCACTTTTCATACACAGTGGCAAT